TAGATTTCGAAAATATGGTGTTTAAGTGCCCAATATATAAAATAATTACAAAAAAGTCTAGTGCTGGTAGACGATCTATCGACAGTCTCGGGATTATTTTATATCTAGAATGGGAATAATATTCTAGTTAATGTAAAGGTACACCATTCGTTATGTCGCGTTTGAATAACAAGGAATTTTTTAGTAATATGATGAAGAACTTAAAAATCAAATCGATGCCTGCATTAGAGTTTATCTTTGAATGTAATTTAACTTCTGACTTATTAAAAAATATATTTTACTTTGGATATCTTATATGAGTTTATTAAATGTGAGATGGATGTTATGTTTTGTTGGACGTAATTTGGTAGAATATTTAAACTGCTAAATCGAAAAATTCTGCATGTGGAGAAAGAATTCTTTGTGCCGCTTTAGAATTTTACGAACAACATTGATAGAATTTAAAATTGTATAGGTTCCATAAATTACACTAATAACGAGACTATAGTTTACTATTACGATTGGTTCAAGTTCAGTGTTGCCAATTCAACATTTTTTTGCTTCCGTGTATTTAACGAAGGAAAGCTTGATGGTACTAACATTTTTCTTTTGTTCGTCTATTAAAGTGCAAACAGTTTAACCGCAAACCGAAATGCGATTTAATCTCCACTCAATTCGTTATATTCGGTTTTAAAAACAAAGATCACTCATCTCTGTTTGCTATCATACCTATGCTATAGACACTGTAAATTCACATTATTTTCACTCATTTCTGATTTTTTGCTTCGAAGTGTCGTCTCTACATTTTTTAAATTTAACCTTCTTTTATGGAATAGTCAAATTGATGAATATGTGATATAATTTGCCATAACAATTCGTTATATTCGGTTTTAAAAACAAAGATCACTCATCTCTGTTTGCTATCATACCTATGCTATAGACACTGTAAATTCACATTATTTTCACTCATTTCTGATTTTTTGCTTCGAAGTGTCGTCTCTACATTTTTTAAATTTAACCTTCTTTTATGGAATAGTCAAATTGATGAATATGTGATATAATTTGCCATAAAATTACGACAATATTATTAATATTCACATAAATTTAATTCAATATTAACTTCCTGCTGTATCAAATGTGGATGAAATATGTAAATCTTGTTCAATTACAACACACTTTGAAACGAATTAAGTTTAAATACAAAAAAATTGCTGATTAGTGCATATTTTTTTACCTAAGCTCTATGTCTATAAAACAAAATTTCATCCTACGGTAACAACATCTATTTAAAATCGGTATAGAGTAAATATGTCTCTTATATTAATGTAAGACTTGTCTGTCATAAGAGGCCAATCATTGATTAATATCTAACATAATATGAAAGCTCTTTGCAGTGCACACATGCACAGACACCTATTGTCGCCGTGTATTTTCCTGGTCGAACTAGATAGTTAATCGATGCCAAGATTTTTAATCTCATGGAATGAAAGAAGGGGTCAAAAAAAGAATATTACTGATGAAATGTGGTTTAAACATTTCTTTTCGTATTTTATTCGATTATGTATATGTCATAAACTAAATTTTATACAAAAAATGCAGAGAAATATGTTATTAAGCGTAATTTCAAACAATTTTTCCAACAAAATACCGTTCTTACCATAAAAATCGCTGAAATACATAAATGTACATATCATTGAACCTTTCATGTCATCAATAAATAGCATAATAGTATTTTATTAATCTTATCTTACAATTTTTTGCTTAGCATTTATTATCAAATTAAATTAAACGGTATCACTTATTTTAATATTATTTAACAGTATGATAGAGTTTATCCCTTTTCGACTCGAAAACAAGTTGTTATCTTAACCTTCCTTTATCCTATACAGTATTTGCAATTTAAAATTATATCCATCAAAGTGTTTGATGATTTTGTAATCTTCACTAACGTCCACGCGCAGTCCAATGTTATCATATTCTCTCACTTTGAACACCAAGTAATTATAATTTTGATTCACCAGCTCAACATTCTGCTCTAAAGCTTTAACGATTTTATACATAACATCATGTTTTGTTTTGATTTTAACAAGAAATCCTTGATAAACATCATCTCTTACGTTGTACATTTTGTATTTTGGTTGGTTGTTCAGCATGCGATCTCTTTTAAACTGTTTCTCGGCCAATAGTTGATGTCGTGTGCTCGATCGGTGAATAACATAAGATGATTCGTTGGTATGTGTTGTGTAGCACAATTTACACTCAATTTTACCAAGGTGATTAATACGGAGATATTTGTCGTTTTTTAGATCATGAAGTCTGTTTATCAACTGTTTAAGGCGTTTTCTACGGTTTTCTTTGATAATGGCGGGTGTAATTTTTGTGTGTTTTTCTGTCATAACAACGAATTATGGAATATTATTTTATAGCTGGGGGTTGATCGTTTGTGATTCGCAAAAAAAATGAGGCAAATACAATTCTTATTGCAGCTTAATAAAAGAACCGAGAATATTTGCAGTATTATTAAGCATAAAATGAAACAACTCTAAGATTTTTTTTAATATATTAATTATTTTTTTCAAGCATTTATTTGCTTATTGTATTTCTGGATGAGGAACGGAGAATGGATTTGCGTGAACAAAATTGTATTTTTTCGTGTATTTCTTGTAAATGGTTGCTGGTAAATCTTAAATCAAGGTGTTTAAAAATAATGTGTGGCTTACCAGCTCATAGTAAAATAACATAAACTAGATATGTTAAATTTCTATTAGATCGCTATTTCTATGAAATAGAAGGCTTAAATCAATATGTGTTTTGTACAATTCATTCCTCACTAATCAACTTCGTATTATTTGTGTTCTTTTCCGGTCTGCATTTTTTAGAAAGGTAGAAAATTAAAGTTAAGTCAGTAATAGTATTTGCTTTAAATACCCGTTGTAAGAGATGGCAAAGTGTGGTCTATAACATAGAATTGCAAAACAAAATGTGACCTTTTACTTCATATTAAACGTCAAATAAAATTTTTTAGTCTTGTTTAATGGACCAACCAGCTTGTTACTTGTCTTTTTATTTATATTGATTGATGATATGATTTTGTGTGGAGGCTAGGAAAGTACTAATCCTATGTTTATTCAATGCAAAGATTATTACTTTCAAGCAATACAACTATACATTTAAGCGTAGCCTCCTATAGGTTTAAAAGCAATAAAAATACATCTATAGATTATTTTAATTTCGTTATAATGAAAAAGTAAATGTATAAAAAGGACAATTATGATTACGAAACCTCTGTATCGATTTGTATGTTGTTTTTATAGCCTGTCCGTACACGGCCCATGTATACGTAGATGAAAATTAAAAAGGAAAGTAGCGGTCACGATTACTAAACCTTCAAAAAATAACAGAAATTAAAAGTAAGAATTATAGTTGTATACATCAATTAAAAACAATGAAAAAACAACTCGCAATTTGATTGGTCAATTCGCGAAAAACATTAAATTTTTATTTAACGCTTTTACAGCAAAAAAGAAACACTCTGTAATTACGTTCCATATTCTAAAATATATTTAGCATTTTTAACAAATATATTTAGAGAAAATATTGACGCTGACTAGGAACTTACTTTTGAACCAGTTTTGGAGATACGAGTAACGCAAAAAACGGAAGGCTCTAAATGAGATCGAAAATAAAGAAATAATAGATCATTTAGAATGCATACTAATTTAAATTCGCATTTTATAAACGAAACAGCATAGCTATATCGTTATCACATCGTGATCAGTAAAAAGACAACTTAGTGCTTAAAAACTGCTCAGAAAACAAATAAAAAATTTTAGTACATGTTTCAGTAACAAAGAAGTTATATGTTGTTATTTAACTTTCATTTTTCGAAGTTCATTTTGCATTTTTTTACCAACGATATTTAGGGAAGATATTACGACTAATAAAGATCAGTTTTTTTACCTCTGCTGAAGAATGAAAGTTGCGCAGAGATGGTTGGAGTGACAACATTAAAACTGATCAAAAATCAATTTTTTTCAAACTATATTAAGTGAACTTTTCCGTTTTATAAAGGAAATTGCGTAGCTAGTACGATTATAACTTTCTCTGGTCGAGAATGCTAAGGTGTTAGAATCAAATTCGTATGTGATAGTTCAACACGTATTCGTGGACCATAACAACCGATAAAAATAAGCAATTTTTTCTCGAAAATCATGTATTTGTTTACTTGTTTCCCAATAAACCTGTTTTGATCAACATATGTTTACTAAGAATCTCTCTAAAAGTATAATCTTACATATACAGAAACCAATGCTTGACCAAAAGACTGTCGGTTATATATCCAGCTCCAGCGGACCATAACAGTGTGTGTAAGGCAGCAAAGTAGTATTCAGATGCCTTTTAAAAAATAAAATCAAAAAGAACGAAAAACTTCACGTTCTCTCAATGACAGCACCCATACCATCTAATATCAAAAGCCTGTTCATCATTAAACTGATCGGCGGAACATCATAATAATAAAGGCCTATTCTCTAATTATTTTGTACCCGTTTCGCCAGGAAAACGGGAATACGACGAACTCCACCAAAAAAATGAATTTTTTTAGTTATATAGGATTGATCACGACAAGCCGTATTAATTAATGCAAGGATAGCTATTAATTACTTAAGTATACGCTCTTTTCATTAGTTCTGAAAAAAAAATTCATATACACAACCTTCCGAGCGAAAACATACCGTTGGTATGAAGAGTTTAAGTTTATATCCGAAAGCATTCTATCTTTCAAAATCTACAATGAATAAATATTCGTAATAGCTTATAATTGATGGCCATCATTCTTCTAAAGCACTCATATGTTTATATGTGTTTCCTAAGTCAACCCTTGTTAACTAAACAAAAATGCAGGCTAAATTAGTCGCCGCTCTCCCAATCTAAAAGCTTTACCCGCACCATTTTTACTTCATCTTCTTGTGACCTGCAAAGCAATAGCACATAAAATACAAGCAAGATCGATAACAAAAGCATGGTAACGATGGGGATCGAACCCACGCCATCAATCGATGAGCAGATCTTAAGTCTGCCGCCTTAACCACTCGGCCACGTTACCTCTCTAGGTAAAAGATTTGCATCTATAAAACGTTATTTATTAAATTTAAATAATTAATCTGTGCGTCAGATTGCAACCGCAAATTTCTCTCTATTCAATATATTTAATTTAAAATATCTTATAGTACAGTATGTCAAGTAATGATTGGTTGAAAAATAGTTTGTATAATTTGAGATTGCGAACAGCATAGCAGTAAATGAATGGCATACGAAAAAGCTGACGGAACAAATTTATTTCAAGGGTTCACAAAATTTTGTTCCCCATGTCTTTCAATCTTTTAGTCAAACAAATTAAGAAAAAAAGCAACGATCTCAAGTTCATCGTAGTTGGTCTAGATAACTCAGGAAAAACCACCATAATAAACAATATTTTACGTATAGATGCCATTTCATCCCCAACATTCGGATATACTATATACAAAAACTTATACAAAAACACGAACCTTACCTTGTTCGACATAGGTGGACAGGAAGCCCTCAGAAAATATTGGTCTAATTTTTATGAAGATGCCGACGGTGTAATTTTTGTGTTTGACCTTTTCGATACACGTGATTTTGTAGGTGAGTTTAATAGAGTTAGAGAAACACTCGCTGATTATCCTGTACTAATCTATGGAAATAAGATAGACTTGGATCGGGAGCGTGGGCAGAGCATTCTTGAAAAGGTCAAGAATGGTATTGATGATGAAAGCGTGAACTGTTATGGTGTTAGCGGAAAGATGGGAACCGGATTAGAGGAGGGAATGGACTGGTTAATTGATGTTGCTAAGCTCAATCTTGCTAAGCATATTTTGTGAAGAGGAAGTGAACGTGTAAGTAGCACTAGTTTTTGAGAGAAGTTGATTTTTTTTGTTCTGAGAAATTGCATGAACATCATCGGTTTGTAACGTTGAATACATTAACTAGGATGCATTATTATATCGTAAAGTGTCTGTTTATAAGTCGAAATATGTATTGGTGGAAACAATTCATAATCAATAAATGTCAGCTTTACTATTCCAGTTTTTGAGTGTAACATTTATTGAGCTGCACCTATCCTTTAGAGCGAGGTATTTAATTATTTCCAGTTTCCTTTGGTTATTACTCCGTTTAGATTGCTGCCAGCTCATCGAATTGAATGTCTACACATCTTTTTATTTTGTGAGCAACTCTAATATTGCCGTGTTAAACTGACAATTGCTTACTTCTCGTGTTGAGCGTGAATGGAGTCGTGATTATGACATGTATAATTATAAATTTGCTCATGGTAAATAAACTAAACATTTTTTTGTCATCATCTGTTTCATATCTTATGTAGGACTTGTTGATCACTAAAGTCAATGTTTAACTCGTATAAAACATTTTATTGAATGATGTAGTTGTTTATAAAACAATAACAAAGAATTTAAATATTTAAACACATGATACATTCATAATAACATCTCAGAAGTAATTTTTTTAATATTTGCCACAAGAATAAACCAAAAAAAACCCAGTTGTTTAATACCAAGGTCTCTTTTCAGTTACACGTGCCTTATCATTTGTAATGGACGTATATTTTGCAGTAACCTTTACATCCCAATCCCCTGTCATCTCGAGATAATACCATGGCTATTAATCACACATCAACCGTCACGTGATGATTAGAACGATAACGTGGAATGATTGAAAGTATATAAGAACAATGAATAAAAACGGAGGAGGCTAACCGTAAGCAATGCAATGCATGCTTAACCATTCAGACACTAATACTTCAATCACAACAACATTTAATCGAAGAGCAGATTATACTCACCAGGCTAAGTTTAACACATTTTCACGCGAGACACAGAAAATCAGGCCTTACACGTCAGAGCAGTCAACTCGGTCAGTTACTGCATCTTTTTTACCTGACATATCCAGTGCTCGGGATCACTGATTTAATTATCATTCTGTAAATTTTTGAGGCGTTTTATTGTTTTGTACCTGGTGCTTGTCAACTTTACAACACTGCTCTGTTCGGCGTACTATGGTCACGGAAATAACTACCGTACTATTTTTAGAAGTTTAAACGTATTCATTTTGAAATAATTAGATTTTTTTATTAAAATCGGTTTAGTTATCTCCTTCATTCACACTATCTAATCAAACACGCTCTTCTAGTCCGCTGGGACCGACCATGGCCATCGATCCTTGGTTCATAGAGCCTGTCTCTTTTAACATTTTCGTTTGTTGTTTCCATAGTTTAGCGTAATACTGCTTATCATTGCGTTAAATACAAAATAATTTGTTGGCTCGAAATCAGTCTTCTCTATTTAATCACTTAAATAACCTTTATGTTGCAACATGTATCGGCCCAATATATTTTATTCTCCATGCTAGACATAAATAAATACGCAGTTTACGACAAATGTAATCATTGATTGGTTCTTATTGAGTTGCCTCAGCATCTTTACAATCCATTTTCATAAACAACTATTTCTAGTGTCTTTTGTTATCCTTCTGATAGTAGTTTAACCTCGTATTCGTTAATAAATTGTCATAAAGTAAATCAATTAACTCATGTATTTTCCTTGTCCGTGCTTAATGCCGAAATCTAAATTTATGATTTCCTCCAACCATCCTTGTCTACCATTTCCAGAATATTATTATTGCTCTTTTCTTAACCACCTTACTACCTTATGATCTGTAACCGATTTAAAATTTCTTCATATTAAATACGTTGTGAATTCTCCTATTCTTAATATAACAGCAAATAGTTCTTTTTCCTGTTTTGCACCAGTTTCTTTCATTTCCCGTTAACTTTTCTGGTACCAGCGTTACCATTTCTCTGTTATTTTTATTATTCAACTGGTATAAAAAGGTTAAAAAAACACCTGTTGGTGATGCTTCTCTTTCCAGAACAAATCTATTTTCATATTTGTAATGATATTGTTGTTTTTTTTACGTATCACTTTTTGTAGCAATAACTTCTGTTGTTGCCACTTTTAATTTTTTCTTTTCTGTCATTTTTGTGTCTTCTACGATATGTACGATTTCAATACAATCGTTGAGGTCTTTTTACACACTTTGAAACGCATCCTTTCTCATCGCTATTAGTGGTACGATAGATGCACCGTTTACTTTTTTATTCACAGGTCTGTTCTTCTAAAAGCTACAAGAAAAGTCTCTTTTGATGTATCACTTTGTCAGTTAACAAGTCTGTAAACTTTTTATGGCACATCACATGTACCGAATGTCGGATACATTCACATTTTTACAACACTAAGAATAGTATTCGCATGATTCTTAAACATTTCAAGTATCCTGGTATGTCTTCAAAGGAACACCTGGCTGATTCTTTGCTTTTTAGCCCATCACTCTTAATCGATACAAATCAGCTGTTGCCGCGGTCCTTCTTTATTAATTTGTCTATTCAGGCAGGTTTAGATGATCGTTTTACACTAAGTTTATCATTTCTTTGATTCATGTAATACATTTTTTTAATCATCATCTAAAACGTCCAATGATACCTTTATCATTGAGCAATCCAGCATTTCATTTGTAACCGATTTAAAAAATTTGAGTTGAAGTATTCAGACATTATCTCGTTGGTTGGGTTCTACGCTATGTTATTTCTTTAAACTAACAGTCAGTTGAATTATCTTTTTCGCACATACTACTGCCATGTTATTTAAAGAGGATGTTGTATCATGTTGTCATGAAGAGCAATGATTCTAGCTGTTATAGCTAAATTCTTCGTTTTTAAAAACAGGTAAAAACCACGTTTAAAGAATATAGCACTAACAAAACACATGAGAATAATCATCACAGAAAGATGACAAAAAGTTGTAAGTTCGGATTGTATACGTTCATTGTTAAGTAAATTGCGTTTATTTTGATGAAATATAGGTAGTTATTGTATAATAACACTAGTGATGGATTTATTAAATCTACGTTATTAAAAATATAAACCTTTTCATATAATGGTAAATGATGTATGTGGTGTTAGACTGCAAGCTTCCAAAGAGAACCAAACAACACCACTTGTAACGCAAATGTGGGTCGCTCGTGAAGAAAACGCTTCTAAAAAGCTTCTAGTTTGTTCAGTAATGGTGGATTACAACACGAATTAATGAGTGTTAAGAGAATGCGATTCATGAAAAATCTGTTATTAAGTCTATGGCCAGTGCTTAGGGCACTAAAAGAGTTTGTTCAGACATGTGGAAATTAATTGAATATCATAATAATTAAAGGCACGAGAACATGATCATGAACCAAAGGCTGTTGAGGATATAATACGTGCATTAGAGAGAATTGTTCGTTTAGACACTTATAAATGTGATTTTGTCATGAACAATTGAATTTTACTCGAACAAAGCTCTTCACACAAAAATTGTAAAATATTTTTAGTACCAATATTATATCGTTTGGGTATCTTTTGGATAGTAATGAGTTAAATGCAATTTAAAATAGCAAATATAACTAAATAGATGGTTAATTAAAAACCATGTGAAACGAGGTATAACTTAACACACGTGCCTTACATGTAATAGCTGTTTATATTCAAGAATAACGCTGAATTATATTATTTTCTCTAAAACTTTAGTAAATTGAAATAAATTACGTAGTCTTTTACGAAATGATTTTATATTAGAAGAAGCAGCATTTCTCCGCAACGAAGTACAGAAAACGAATTGTTTAACGTTTACTTATTTGAATATTTTGGCATTTAACGGCTAAATGTTTGTCTTCTAATGATTTACACCCGTAGTACTAGGACCCGTCGAAAATTGATGATATCAGTGTGATAAAACTTGGAAGGACGCCAATCAGTAGTTCTATGAAAAATGATTGTATGTTTATATAAAGCGATAATTCTCTAAGTTTTCTAGTAAGTAGATTTTTTACAGTACATTTCCTGGTAAACTTGGAATAATTTTCATAATAACTGAGATGCTCTATATAACCACAGTATATCGTTCGAGATTGATCGACCAATACCGTATAATGCTTATATTTACTCTGTACGGAAACATTTAATTATTCCTTTAAAGTAACTTA